CCATGCTTCCTCCTGTCCCTCCCCTTCTTCTCCTCCCCCCTCCCCCTTCTCTTCCCTTCCGTTGTGTCCTCCTCCCCTTCCTTTTCTCCTCTTCTTTCCACTCCGACATTGCCTTTATCCTGAAACAATGTGAAAGGGGTGTTTGGAGCAGTGTCACCTTCTAATTCCCACTGGTGAGAAACTGTATAAATGAAATACGCACCTGTTGGACAGCAATGCATTGTGGAACAACTTGATAATGGTATATTATGCAGCAGCGAATAGACTCTTGTTTGCAAATTATTTTTCCTTAAGTAAACCACTCAGGATCGTGTCTGACATACATTAAGTGCTTTTTGGATAATTCCTATTGCTAATGAACATCGGAGTGACTCTCTGCAAGGACAGGCATTTCAATCAAGCTGCAGAAGCCAAGGCTCAGGGACGTAATCTGCTTATATTCGCCTGTCGCAGCCTGCTGTCTGGCCATGGCAGAGTGTTGGTGTCAGCCCAGCGGGAAGCCTTTCCCAGTTCTAGGTTTTCTGCAGTAGGGCCAGCACCTCTGAATCTCTGTCTATGTCCCCGCTGTGTGGGACACACGATTAAAGGATGCTCTGAGCAGTGCAGCTTGCAGGGGAGCCAGCTGGTGGGTCTGTTACTGTGTTTCTGGAATAGACCCTGGCTGCTGGAACCAAGTAGATAGAGACCCTCAGTGACAAGGTCAGGAGAACCCTCAGGCCCTTTCTCTGGTAGCTCTTGTTCTCTCCTGTGTCCCAGACTCTTTTTCAGCTGACTGTCTCTGGGAAAGACACTACACATCTGCAGGCCTCAGTTTCCCTCAGTGTTCCCAGCAATATGATTCTGATACACACATACACTTTTGGGATCCAGAATGTTTGGACCCAATCCCAGCTTTCCATTTTAGTTTTCTGATCACGGGATTCTAGGAGAGAGGCTCATCTCTCCAGGTGTCATTTCCTTCCTGGCACAATGGAGATATTAACTGTAGCCTGCTTCTGGCCCTTGTAAGGATTAGATGAGAAATGGCACCTAGAGTGTCAGTGGTACCTTAAGGCCTGTTGGCTGCCTCTGTCATGCTCACTGTGAAGGAGCTGAGGACACGTGTGTGCCTGAAGGCAAGGGGCTGGCCCCAGTCCCTGTCCCCCAGCTCCCAGCCTGCAGCCCCCCCTGGCTTTACCTCTGAGTGATTGACAGCTGGGCTGGTGGGGCCCTGGCAGACCTGTCCTGGCAGCTGCTCCCACAAGGCGAGGCCTGGGAGCTTCAGAGAATTAATTAGGCTGCATTCCTCCTCCAGGGCTCCAGCAGCCCCCTCCTGAGCTGCCGAGGGCTCTTGGCACTGATCCCTGGCAGGCCAAGGCGAGACCCACTCTCTGTAAAAGGTGCTGGGAAGGCCTCTGTAGGTTAGAAGAGCTGGCCCAAGAAGGGCTGCCGATTACCTAGAAGCCCAAGGCAGCTCCTGTCCTGGCTCTTTTGCTTAGCAACCTTCACCAGGTCCCCATCGCTAAGTTGAAATTCCTGGCATGGGATGCTCTTCTCCACCTGGCTCCTGCCACTCAGTCCAGCTGCCTCTTCCTACCTGGACCCTTCCTTACTATAGCCAGACATTCCTGTCCTTGCTCCCCAGGCTGTGGTGCCTGGTCCTCATACCAGTGTGAGCACACCCTTCTGGTCCTGCTCTTCAATGGTCTGCAGCAAGTGGAAGTTGAACTCACAGGATATTCCTCTACCCATCTCTATCCCTTGCTAGCCTGGGTGAGCTTCAGGGTTGCATGTAGTGTCCAGAGGCCAGAACCACTAACAGCAGAGACATCCAGCATGGCAGGAACTTCCTTTTCTGGGCTTGTCTTTGTATGCGTGTGTGTGAGTGCGTGCATGCGTGTGTGTGTGTGTGTGTGTGTGTGTGTGTGTGTGTGTGTGTGAGACAGTTGCTGCTAGTGTTCCCCACATACAACACCACCCCATGCCATGACATGCAGGACATCATAGCTCATGCCTGTAACTCTGACAGCCTTTTCCAGCTCCCTCTCTCTTTGACACCCTGGGAGAAGCAGAGCACAGTCTCCATCCTTGAAGGAAGGAGCTTTCTTCTGCACGGTTCTTCCTGTCTAGGACCTTTTTCCCCACCCTACTCAACTCGTGTTTGTTCCTTCAGGCCACCTCCTCCAGGAGGCCACCCTGGACTCCCTTTCCCAAGGTTACAGCTCAGTATCAGAGTCAGGAGAGCATGGAATTTAAGGGGCTGAGGCTAAAGCCAGCTTAGCTACAACCACACTGAAGATGGCCTAGCACACACGGAGCCCTGAGTTTGATCCCCAGTTCTTCCTATAACCTTAGAACATAGAGGCAGGAATACCAGAAGTTCAAGGTCAATATTGAATTTGAGGCCGATGTGGGCTACATGAGACCTTGACTCAAAACAAAAACAAGTGACAAAACAAATTAAGCAATGGGGTCTCATTATCTCCCTGCACCCTTTTTGTTTTTGTTTTCAAGACAGGATCTCCCTTTGTAGCACTGGCTGTCTTGGAATTCACTCTGTAGACCAGACTGGCTTCGAGCTCTCAGCGATCTGACTGCCGGTGCCTCCTAAGTGCTGGGACTTAAGGCAGGTACCAGTATAGTGGTCCCTCCTTCCCTCCTCTGTTGCATTCCCTTGCTTCTTCCTCTTCCTTGTTTTTAAAGAGATAAGGTCTCACTATCTTGCCTAGCTAGCCCAAATTCCTAGACTCAAGCAATCTCCTGCCTCCTCCTCCTAGGTGCAGGTTACCACGCCCAACTTACCTCATCCATGAAATGGGAGTAATGATTGTAGAATCTGCTGTGTAAGGCTGCTGTGAGGAGCCCATCAGCTTGCAGGACGCTTCAGGCCCCGTGCATATCTCTGTGCCGGGCAGCTCTCTGGCCCTCCAGGCAGAGGCCACCACTGTCAGCACAGATCACCAGCGTCTCCACAAAGACGATTATTTCTCATCATTTAATGAATGGATGGCCACAGTCCAGGAGTTTATTGCCCTGAGGCAAATGGTTTATCTGAACTGACCCTGGACTCTATTGGAGGCGGTGGCTGGGGTGGGGTGTGTGTGTGGGTGTGTGTTTGTGTGTGTGTGATGAATTCCCTGGCCTTGTGGATGAGGCATGTCTGAAAGCAGCCATGGTTCAGGCAGCAGCCTCCCCGGCCTGGCCTGTACCTCATCCATATGTAGTTGTAGTTCCTACCTGCTCCTCAATTCACTTTCCCCTACACACACACCCCAAGGAAACTGGGGTCATCCCCATTTATAGCTTCTCTCTGTCCAGGATTCCAGCTGGCAGAACATGATTTTGCTTCAAAAAGTCTTGGAAAATGAGTTAGTGAGATGGTTTAGTGGCTGAAGGTGATTGCTGCAAAGCTTGAGGACTCCTGGGTTTGATCCCAGGACCCATGTGTTGGAAGAAAAGAAGTGACTTTCTCAAGTTGTATTTGATGCTACCCGCCCCCCCCCCAAACACACACTTGTTATGGCTTGCATGTGACCTTTCTTCCAAATAATTGTAAAAAGAAATTAAAACTTGGGAAAGATTTATTAAGTGTTTATTGAAAAGGCAGGAGAAGGGGGAGAATTTTGTTCACCAAATCCTAACGTGGGTCTTCCCAGATCTACATTTAGCTCACAAACTGCAGGCCACACCCCCACTGCTGGGTCTCCGCTGCTTGGAGGCTGTGGAAAAGACTCTGGGTACATACGGTCCCATTGGCTCTGCCCTCTGCCGCTCCCGTACAGAGAAGTGAGACAGGACAGGGTCTCCTGAGGAAAGGTCACAAGCCAGGTATCTCTTTCTATGACCAAGGAACTAAGAGAGTGGGTGTCATCTCGGCCAGTATTTGCCATTCTGTCAATCTCTAGACTTTGACCAGTGTCCCAGTCCTGAGATGAAAGCGGTGAGCACCCTCCTCTGTGGCTTCCACACTCCTCACCAGGACATTCATGACTCTTTGCAGGGCGGTCCTGGGGCTGTCGGCCCTGGCCACTGGCTGTGGATTTTGGGATCCTGAAGGGGCAGGGCCAGCCTGAACGGAAGGCTGCTGTGCCAGGAATGGTAGCTTCCCGTGCCAGCCCAGCTGGAGTGCGAAGGGTGCACTAGCCTGGGGCGCTGGGCAGCAAGTGGCAGGGCTGTCCCCATGGCCCCAGCACTTCAGGGTCAGCATGTGACCTCCTTTCCCTGCCTCCTGTTCACTAATTCCCTCTCGGCCCTGACTAGCCCTCTGGAGGGTATTGCTCTGAAGCCTGTCTCTGACAACTTGTTACCCACTGACTGTTCATGGCTCTCTGGGGCCCATAGGAAAGAGCCCGGCTTCTGACTCACCCTTCGAAACCCTTGTGGCTTCTTCTCCAGCTGTTTCCCCTGCCTGCTTCAGCCACGGGGCTTCTCTGAGGACTCCTTTGTCACTCCACACTCACCTTGCTCCCCCACCCCTGCTCTATCTGTCCTGACTTGGTTTCCTTCTGTTCCAGTCTTGTTTATCTTTTTTCTTTTAAACAAATAGTTTTATTTTATGTTTTTAATTTTTTGTGCACAGGGGAATATATTTGCTATAGTGTACATGTAGAGGTGAGCGGTCAAATTTTTTGGAGTCAGTTCCCTCCTTCTACCTCCTGGGTCCCAGGAATCGAACTCAGGTAATGAGTCTTGACAGCAGGTGCTGTTATTCACTGAGCCATCTGCCTTGTCTTTGAAGACTACAGAAGGAGCACAACTTTCATGTGGGATCCTTTCTCTTATCCCCACCCGTACCCCAGTCAGTCCCAATCTGTCCCCACATAGTCCCTTGGTTCTGTACCCATCCCAGTCACCATGCAGCCTGACGAGCCCACTCCATTTCCCAGGCCCTGGAGCCAGAGCTTGCCACTTCTTGTTCCGACCATCCTGGGAGTGAGAATTAGCACTTTTCATTCCTAGATGAGACAACAGAGGCTCAGCAGGGGAAAGTTCAATGTCAAATTGCGGTATAGATCCACGAATTCAACCAACACATTTTATTACATACATCTATACATATACACAATATATATATACATACATATACACTATATATATAATGGATTCTGGATCCCAATCCTGTGCCATCTAAGGGAAGTCTCCGCTCTTCTCTGTGCATCGATGGATTTCCTCATCTGGAAAGCACGAGCTGTGGAAGTCTGCATCCCAGTGTTGTTGTGAAGGCAAAATGGGTCAATCCAAACAAAATATGAAGCGTGCCAGTGTACAGTGGGAGCTGAAAATGTACCAGTGTGTTGTTTTCCCAGAAGGAAATTGGGGTTGGCTTTGTGAAGAAGGCAGGGTTATAGCAGGCATGTAAATGATTATTGCCTGCTCCATAAATATTTCCTGACAGCTGGCTCAGGTCACAGCCTGCCACTCCCAGCATGAGCCAGCCATTCCCAGCCATGGGAATAGGACACAGCTTGCTTGTGGGAGATTCAGCTGGCCAAGTGTCCAGGCTGCTGCCTGCAGGAATATTCCAGACCACAGGCTGTCCCTTGGCCCAGAGAGGGTGCTGCTTGGCTCCAGTCCTGGCCTCCATCAGTCAGAGAAGTGTCAAATTTCATTCCTGGACCTTCTGAGATTCAGAATGAGAGTCAGGGCCAGGCCCTGGCTAAGACTAGGTTTTGGTGCTCATCACTGCCCACCAGGTTGCACACAGACATGTATCCATCTGGTTCCACTTGTCACAGGACAGATAAACTGTGGCTTCCCAATCAGGCTCTGGCTGGACAAGATTCCTGGAGCTGAAGATGGTCTCTGCACCCTCATGGATCCAGTTTCTTCCAAATATGCACTTGAAGAGGGCCTGGCCGTGTGTTCTTGTCTGCTGTGAATATGTGGCCTAGAGTCCAGATGTCATAGCTGCAGACAGCTATCTAAGTCACGACAGGCAAAAGTCCAGAGAGGAGAAACCCAGCAAGGGATGGGGGAACCTGGGTCCCAGCTACCCACGTTGTTGGACTTTCCTCTTCTTCTTGTGTCCTATTAGCTCCCGAGTGATCCCTCCTGGGAGGAACCTCTCACCTCTGCTTGGCCAAGACAAAAATCCTAGAAGACCATTCCATCCTTTATTACAAACATGAGTTCATAAGTAAACAACTGAGATTCTAAAAAAATACATTAAAATAAATAAGAATTTCAAAGTTCTTAGAGCAAATAACTTATATACAGATGAGTGAAGCAGAGCAGGCCCTGCCCACAAAAGTTCCCAAGACAACAAGATTGCAAGGCCTCTAGGGTGGAGGAACCAGAGAGGACCATGGGGGGCAGCCAGGATGTCGGTCATCAGGATGCCCTGTCCTCTCCAGGTATGGCTTAGGTAATTGTGTCCTGCCGTGGGGTTGCTCATGGATCACAGTCCAGCAAACAGGACACTCCTCAGGACACAGTCAGCATATTCATTGGGCCTCACATAGCTCCTTCAAGCGGGACTGTAGCCAGCAGCCCATACTGAGTGGCCGCACTGCTGCTCAGGTGCCAAGGGTGGCCCTGGCGGTGGTGGCCCTGGCGCTGTAAGGACGGAGAGCTGCTGTGAGGGAGGCCAGAGCTTGTGCTGGGCCCATCGGATGGGTCTGGCTAGCCGGGGCTGAAGTCTTGGTCCAGAAGACAGGCACAGGGTCTCCCATCAGCTGCCCATTTCCTCCTGCTCCGTGTGAGCTTCCTTCTCAACGGTCCATAGCTCACAGGGTTATCTCTTCCTCCGTCTAGAGTGTGCAGGACTGGACTCCCTTGTCACCTCTGGCTGTAGCCTGGCAAGGCGGAGCTTGGTGGCAGAAATGTCCCTGGAAATGGAGAAGGATCAGTTAGCATCTCAGGAGATGCAGGGCACCCAGGACTCTCTTAGAAGATAAGTAGTTGAGCCTAGAACCTCTGCACAGATCTCCGCTAACAGTTGTCCTGGGTCAGGCTGTGGCCCAAGCCCCAAACAAGGTCTGCACATCAAAGTCTGGGCAGGCCAGACCCAGGCCCAGGAGCTTCTCTGCTCATGGGGACACTGACAGTGCATGTGGATGTCCTTCCTTCCTGGTGTCCATCTTTCTCTAGCCTAAATTGTGTCATCTTACTCTGTCTGCAGTTTACTGTCTGTTGCACGGTGGGCTTGTCCACACAGCTGGTACTCATGGCCCTTTGAACTTGGCTGATTCATGGCCACAGCTCTGGGAACTTTCTACTGTCCACTTCCAGACCCTAAGAGTTCTGTCTGGGAGTGAGAAGGTGCGTCTCAGGGCTAGGCTATGGGGACCTGGGCAGGGCTCACCCTCTTTGAGGACCTTTCTCTGTTTTTAAGACACAAACTAGACCCAGTACTTGAGGACCTGTGACAGTAAGATAGCCCTGAGCTCAAGGCCAGCCCGGGCTACATACTGAGTGAGATCCTGTCTCAAAACCAACTACACTAAACCAAAACAATAACAAAAACAACAGTAACAACAAAAAAACCCCAAACTGCCACCAGGATGAGTGCTTGCAGAGGCAAGCATGGCCAAGACCTTCAGAGTTGCACAGGGACATGCTTAGTCCATATTAGCACCTCTAATCTGCAGAATGGACACTGCAAACTCCCTCCTTCAACATCTGCAGCACAGAGAAGGCCAGCCACAAGCCAGAGCTCATGAAGCCTGTCTGTGGCTGACGTGGGCTTCTCAGCTGGTAGATTCTGGCCCACCAGCGGCCTCTGGGTCCCTCTGCTGAATGGCCCAAGGTGAGGTTTCTGTCCTCAAGCCAGGTTGCTTGGACAAACAATTGTGGGCCTTGTGCTGAGTCACCTGTGGCCACCAAGTTGGGGAGATCCCTTAGGGAGTATCGAAGGAACAAACACACACAGTGAGTCATTTACTCCAAGCCCCAGTGTAGGGAAGATGCTTGAATGAATAACTGTGGTTCTTCCCAGTCAAAACCCTCAAGGCCTGATCCACACCTGATGGCCACAGAACGTAGTAGTTAAGAAGACAGCCCTGGGGCTGGAGAGATGATTCAGCGTTAAGGACACTTTCTGCTCTTGTAGAGACCCAGGGATCAATTCCCAGAACCTACACGGCAGCTCACAACAATCCATAATTCCAGTTCCAGAGGATCCAATGACCTCTTCTTAGAGCACATAAGTTACATACAGATGATGCCCTCTTCTAGCCTCCAAAGGCACCATACATGCACGTGATGTCCATACATTCATTCAGGCAAAACACTCATGCATGTAAAATAAATCTATATTTTAAAGGAACACAGGCTCTCGATATAGTCAGATGTGATGGACGCTCTGTGAGTCTAAACAAGCCGTGTCGCTTCTCTGAACCTCAGTTACCTGGCATAGACAATAAGGACCCAATCCTGCCTCACACAGAGAGTAAGGCAAACACGTAAAGCAGACAGAAAATGGCCAACCACGCAATCACCCTCACCTCAGCTTTCGGAGGAGGTCTCCCTCAGTGGCCCACTTCCTGCCAGTCTTCAACACAGCCCCGGGAGCTTGGCTGCTTGGGGTGACCACAGTTTCAGACCTGGATAAACAGAGAGGCATCAAGTGAGGTGCTGGCCAGAACCCTGAAGCTACCTGGCTGCAGGCCCAGCCCAGCCCCCACCCCTGCCCTCTGGAGCAGATCCATTTCCACACTGTGCACCTGGCACCCTTCCCTCCCGGGCGGGGTGGGTACCAAGGAAAACTGAGCTACTGGGAATGTGTTCTCAGCCTCAGAAAGAGGCAGATGGGTGGCTGGCCTTCCCAGAATCTGGCCACCTGCAGTTGCAGGGGAAACTGAGGCAGGGGTGGAGCCCAAGATTGAGCCCCAGAGGAGGAGTTTCTCGTAAACTGTCATGGGAACTGGGACACTCAGGCCTTACTTTCTCAATGGTCCTAGAAGGGGAGGGGAGGAATGCATCCTTCACAGACGGAAAAACCAAGGAGACTTGGCATCTGTACTCCAGTTCCTTGACATAATGACAACTCTGGTACCAGTCATAGATTGCCAACTACAGATGTTATTTTTCTTCTAAACAAACTTAGGAAGTACCAGAGCCTCAGGTTAAGCGAAGCCCAGTCGGGCCTGCTTCCTTGTGGACCTGACACAAGGCTTGCCCCTCTCTGAGCCTGGGCTATCCATAACCTGGCTGTGCCAACCCTGCCCAGGAATGGGGATGTGCGCTTCCAGAATCCTTGGGGCTGAGCAAAGGGAGGAGCTCAGGGTATTTCTGTGGGAAGGGACTCTGCCGTGAAGCCAGTGTACTTATGGGTTCTAGGACATTGCTTGTCTCCTTTGGGCCTCTACCTGTCTACTAGTCTCCCAGATACCCTGCTTCCAGGCCTGGTCCCAGCTAGCAGTCACCCAACCTGCAGGCTAGGAGTCCACCTACCTGGGTCTTTGATGGCAGAAGGTGGCACAGGCAGAGTCCCCGGCAGTAGAGCACTCACAGCGCCTTGGCAGGGAGCGGCGCCGGCGCCTTGGCGGGTTTCCCAGGCCGTAGGGAGCTGTCTGTCTGTGGGCGGGAAGCCAGCAAGGTAGTGTGTACATGGGGTGGGGGGAGGCAGAGAGGAGAAAAAGAGAGGGGAGACACAGGATTAGATAAACGCATCACTGGGCAGCAGAGAGGTCTATACTGAGCACGGGTACAGCCAGTCACACCTCCGGGATGGCCAAGAAAGGGGACCACCCCACTCCTGCTCATAGTCAGTTAGCCACTAACACTTCTACCAATGTTTCTGCACACTGCTCTGCTAGGAACTCCGGGAGGGGGATGTAAGGCGCGGAGTCTGCAGTTCTTAGGCAGCCAGGGCTGGTCCTGTGGACTCAAGGAGCCCCTCTCTAAGCCATGAGGAAGACAGGCAGGCCAGTTCAGCTGCCAGAGTGAAACACCCAGCTCACAGCCAATTTGCCTCTAGTTGGTCCCCACTTGTTGGGGGTGTGTGTGTGACAAATATGCCTTTGAGTTTGTGTGTGTTTGTGTGTGTACGTGCATAATTGGATTGATCTCTGATCCAGTTTGGCCACGAGAGGCACAGTAGGAGCCCTGAGGCTGGTCCACTCAACACCTTCCAGTCAATAGCTGTTTTTAGGTGGCCTGGCGGTTGGAGCTGTAGTGATTCAGGGTGGACCCGGCACGCAGGGACTGGCAGGGTTCCCGCCCTGAGCCAGCGTTTGGATGTGGATTAGCTCTATGCATGTTTATATGCTCAGCTTCTCTTGCCTTATGCAATTTAGAGAAGGAAAAAAAAAAGTACATACACAAAAACTTCAACCTGAGGTATGCAGGGGCCTGGAGGCAGCATGGGGCAGGCAGAGCCCAGCTCTGGCTCCTTCCGGGGTGTCCCAGGCAGACTTCTTGTCTGTCCTATGGTGGGGGGGGGGGGGGGCTGCAGCAGTGCCTGCCTTGTAGGGAGGCTGGAGGCTCAGCAAATGGTGTTGTACTTGAAGTGTTCCACACAGAGCATGGCCTAGGCATGACTGCTGTCGTGCATGGACTGACTCTCTGCAGGGGAAGTGTGGATGAGCTCCAGCATCCTTAGACTTGGAAAGGAGTCCAAGCATTCTTCCTGTGTCATCCTGAAGAGCTTGCCTCACCTCCCCCAGCCTCAGTTATCCTGATCTGGGAAATGGAGCTAACGCTTTCCCTACAGGCTACTGTGAGGATTCCAAGGGCACACAGCTCTCTGCCTGACTCTGGTGGTCCCCATGTTGACTGATGACTAGTAACTGTGGGTAGGTTCTCTCCGAGTGTCCTATCTGAGCCCCACGGTGAGCCAAGCAGTTGCAGAGGTTGCCAGAGGCCTTTGCTCCCACCTTCTCCCACATTCCTGGTGGATGCTCACCCTGCAGTGTTCACCCAGATGATGTCCAGGTGGCAGAAGTACACACACTCCTTGTCAAGCCAGGAGTTGCAGGAGCAACGGCGAAAACGCAGGTGGGGCCCGCGGCCCTTGGGTGCCGGGGCTGGCTGCTCCAGAGTAGCGGCTGCCTGGCCGTTCCCTGCACGCAGGACGGGGAGAGAGAGGAGGAGAGGAGGTCAGGGTACCTGGCCTGCCTGGGATAAGGGACACACAGGGCTCCTCCTCTTGCATAATAAGGAAGTTGGCACTCTTGATGCTCAGGAACCACTGGCCAGCCTGGGGAAGTCCCAGCAACCAGCGCTGTGCCTGCACTCTGCAGAGGCAGCTCCTACTGGGGTTCCCTGCTCTCTGCCTCCAATTGGCTTTGAGAAGCACCGCGTCCCTGGAGGAGATACCAGTGGATAGACCCCGGGGCAGAAACAAATGAGGGAGGGCAGCTCACCTTCATGCAGGGCCAAAAGCAGGGCCAGAGCGATGGAGCACCAGGCGGGTGTGGAGACCATAGCAGCAACAGAGTGCTTGGCTGGACCAAGGGAGCAGGGAGCGCCTGTGGCCAGCGTCCTGCTGCTAAGTCGAGCTGGGAGCTCATTGCCTAGGTGCCCTGACCGTCTCTTATAATACCAGGCAGGGTGCCCGCCCCTGCTGGTCCAGCCCCGCCTCGCCTAGCTGCTGCTGCTGCACCTTGGGCAGGGAGCCAGGGACACCGCCTCCTCCCTGGGTGCCTGGCCCGCCCTGGCCTCCTGGTGAGGGGGAGGGAGGTGGAAGGCTGGGCTCCACCCTCTGAGCTGCGCGCTGGAGCACCTTCTGGAGTCTCCAGGCTCCCGCAGGCAGGCCCGGGGCCCCTCGGAGTTTTGAAGTTACCCCCAAGTGCTCCGGACCTCCTCCCTACTCTCCCCGCGGCCCTCCAGAACTGGAAGTTTGGAGTGGAAGTCTCAAAGCAAAGTCCTCCCTCTGTACAGGATTCTATCATTCTCCTCCCTGCCCATTGTGAAGCCAGCTGAGATATCCCTTAACTGTGTGGGAGGGGAAAGGCCCACTCGAGGCTTCATGACCTTGGGCGAGTCAGAACCCCCTTTGAACCGCTGGCCTCAGGATGGGCACAACTCATGCCTGACCTTTGACAGCCTAGGGCTGCCTCATCCTCATCTTACCCAAGAAACATTGTCATCCCCACCAAAGCACTGCCCACCCACCCCCCACCTGTAGTAGGAGTTCTGGTCCTTTCAGAAACCACTTAGTTGTGCAAGCATGGCCAGGCAAAAGCCTCCTGGCCCTAAGTTTCCTCGCTTGCAAGCAAAACTAAAACAGGGGGCTCCTTACCATGTTTATTTGGTTCAAACCCGCCCTCTAGATAGAGAAGGTATGTCAGAGTCTTCCTATGAAGATGCTCCATGGGCACGCAGAGGGTGTCCTGAGTGGTTTTCCACTGTGATCCCAACAGAATATTTTGTCTTACCTCAGTGGCTACTCTATGCAAAAATGGAGAAGCAGGGAGGCTGGCAAGGTGGTTCAGAGGGTAAAAGTGTTTGCCACACAAGCCTGATTATCTGAGTTTGAGCCCTGGAACCCAGGGTGGTGTGCATCTATGGGGTGAGAGATGTAGACAGGAGAATTGCTTATAAATTAATGGGCCAGCTTCCCTGGAGTATATGGCACACGGCAGGGACAAGAGGACCTTGCCTCAATCAGACAGAAGGAGAGAACTGTCAATTGTCCTCCGACTTCCACACATGCCATAGCAAGTGTGCACCCACAGTCACACAGACACACTCACACATGCACACAAATATGCACACAAGTAATTCGTAGTAAATGGATGGAGAAGGAGGAAGAGGAGAAAGGGAAGGCAAGGCAGGAGGAGTTGCTCTCTGGGCCTGGCATTCTGCTTTGGGGTCCTAGGCTGACGCAGAAGTCTTGTTAGAGGCAAAAGCTAAGACACACTGTGGAGAAGGGAAGGGACAGAATGAGCAACTCAGAGCACTGGCAGCCCCTCTGTGCCTGTCCTGTGCTGGCAGAGTCCACTCAAGGAGATCCTTTCAGGGAGCCTGGCTGCAGGTACATGGGAAAGGCCCTCAGGTTCCTGGAACTCTAGGCCTGCCTGACTCATGGGTAGTAAGTAGACTTATCTTACATTCTTGAGGTCCAGAACCCTACAGAGGGCAAGGCTTGTGGCTTTCCCTGTACATAGGGCATATCACAGGAGCCCTGTGAATGTACTCTGAGGGACAGAGAGTGACTTAGGACTCACCTGGGTCTGGACTGTGGACCCCAGACAGGTCATTCAGCATCTCCTGCAGAGTTCTTAGTTCCTCCATTAAAAAATGGATAAAAAGAGGAAACAGGGCATGGAAAGGCCATAGTGCCTCTTCCCAGGGTGACCAGAGAGAGGGGGAGGGAGAGAGGAAGGGAGAGAGAGAGGAAGGGAGGGAGGGAGGGAGAGAGAGAGAGAGAGAGAGAGAGAGAGAGAGAGAGAGAGAGAGAGAGAGAGAGAGAGAGAGAGAGAGAGAGAGAGAGAGAGAGAGGAGAGCCTGGTTGAAGTCTGGAAGACAAAGGAAGGATGGGGCACGGGCAGTGAGTGAGAGCTGTCCCAGAACCCAGAGGAAGCAAGAACACTCTAACCTACTCTAACCTATGATACGCTTGGCCATTTGCCACTTCTCATGGCCTCCCTAGGATGCAGCTGCTCTCTTCTGGTGTCAGTTCCAAGAATACCCACAAGGAGGCTCAGAGAGCAGGTGTGTGTGTGTGTGTGTGTGTGTGAGTGTGTGTGTGAGTGTGTGTGTGTGAGTGTGTGTGTGTGAGTGTGAGTGTGTGTGTGAGTGTGTGTGTGTGTGTGTGTGTGTGTGTGTGTGTGTGTGTAGGGTATGCATCCGCCATATAGCTGGCATATGACCGAACCCCCTTTGGAACTCCAATCTTGATCTCACCAGCAAACCACAATAGACTAGACTCCCAGATGGGGCCCACTGCCCTCCCCTATGTGGCAGCTCTGTAAGAATTTAGAAGAATAGCTCTGGAATGAGGTGAGCAATTCTACTAGGCTCTGAGAGAATGTGGCTAGGGACTTGTGTGGGGGTATAGAGGGTGGGGAGTCAGAAGAAAGAAGAAGGAGCAGGTCAGTGGAGGGGTAGGGTCAAGGTGGGGAGGAAACAAACAGGCAGATAAAGGCAGGTATGGGAGGAGAGCTTGGGAGAACCAGGAAGCAGGGAGAAAGACAGAGCTGGGATTTGAGGAAGTAAAAGAGAAAGATGGGGCGAGGAGGGGGAGCAAGAGGCAGGAGTCTAACCTGTCTAATCTTTACACAAATGCAAAATGCCTGCCCAGGACAATAGGGAACCAGAGTCTGGGAGGCATAATAGAAGAATGAAATGGAGCAGGGGACAGGATCTTTCTGGGTGTGAAAATAGAGTGACAACAGGGCAGGGGCCACCGCAGCCTCACAGGGTCAGCACAGGGAACTGTCTTGCTGGCTCTGGTTTCTCCTCTTCCCTGGCTTGGGCTCCAGCTGGACAGGCCAGTCTATATGTAATGGAGAGGCCTGCCTAGGAACCTGAGCAAGTCCAGCCTGTCTTAGGGGATGGGGCCTTTCCGGGAACAGTGCTACCCACTGACAAGAGCTGTTTTCCAGGTAGAGAAATTAAGCTGAGTTAAAAATAGCCTCCCTAGGCCCTTGAATCTCTTGGCCTAGGCCCTAGCAATCACCCTTGTAACTCCTGGCAGATCTGGGGGCTTGCCCCTGTCCTGGCCATGCTGCCCCTATTCCTTCCAGGGACTTGGTTGCATGTCCTTCCCTGACTCTGCTGACACTGGTGGTCTGGTCCCCATCAACTGCCCCAGCCACCCATTTTGCTGCCTCCTCTAGTTCAGCTGTACCCTGTAAACTGCCTAGGTCTTATTAATTAATTAATTAGTTTGTTTGTTTATTGCTGCCTATGTCTTTAACAGCTGCAGGGAGGTGGGTGGGGCACACCTGAGTAAGAGTTTGTGGAAACTTTGTATTTTTCTTCACAAATGATAGTTTACCCACCAACTTGGCACTTGTATAAGTGGAGAGGGTGGGAGACTTTTGGGGAGTAAAGGCTGATAACAAAAAAATGGCTGAAGTTTATTTATAGGTAAGAAACTAGGAATTGCCCGGAAGAAATCCCCACCAGTCATCAACTCCAATCCATAGATGAGATGCCTGTGGTCCAGAGGAGGAGTAACCTGCTCAAGTCATATTGGACATGTTCTCTTAGATTCTGACCAAGACTGGTCCTCCTCATACACCCATGAGTTTAACTAGGGGTCTGTCTGGGGAAAGCTACCAGAAGGACCCCACTGACAGAAAGGCCAGGCACTGGAAGGTGCCCAGGCTGTCTCCCTAGCACTCTTAAAACTCCATAGTCTCTGAGCAGAGGGCAGGTACCAAGGAACATCTGTCCAGACATGAGAGACACTGCACCAGGAGCAAAGGCTCAGTGTTCTGGGGACAGGGATGGCCTGGGGCAGCAGCCTAGCATTTCAGGTAAGACCCTGGAGCAGGAGGCCTTCCCCAGCTCTGCTGCACAGCGCGGCTGTGCTTCCCTGCCCCTTCCTTGCTTCTGCCATCCTGCCTTCCTACTGCGGGGAGAGATGCTCTCAGCTCCAACTACACGCGGCATTCAGAATCCAACCTCTGGTACTTCGGAGCCCCTCAACTGGAGGTCCCACAGATTGTGGCTGTGTGGGTCTGGCTCCCAACTAGGCCTTTCATCCCCGGAAAACCAGTCATTTCCGATAGCCACCCGGCCCCGCTGTGCTTCAGAACAGTGGCTTGCACCCTGGATGAAAGGGCACAGTGTCTAGCTTGCAGGTACATGCTGTGCAGGGGACTTAGAGGGAACAGCTGGGGACAGGACTGGCTAGGGGCCAGTGTTGGAAGCCTACTTACCACAGATTGGCAAGGGTGTGGTCTTAGAGCTGGCCTTGGCTAGGGGTACTAGGGTACTAGGGTACTAGGGGTACTAGGGTACTAGGGAAGTGTTCAGACATTCCCATTGTCACTTGCCTGGGAGGCTGTGGCTTGAGCCCCCTCAGCCTCAGGGCCTCCTTCTGATGGGTGCCTTGAGCTCCTGCCATCAGTCCCAGCTCACTTTGAGGCAGCAAGGCCTGCCACTGGCCGCCCACATCTGGGTCTCCAAAGAGGCCTGAGGCCTGTGGGACCGGCTCCCCTGGTCCATGCTTCCTCAGAGGATACCCTTGCCTGTTGTCTCCCTGCTTCCATGCCAGCCCATTTGGAAAGATTTCTATCTCCCACATAAATTATACCTTTAAAGGGATAATTCATGTGCCTTGTTTGTTGTTAAGCCAAGAACAATCAGAACAGGGTCATGGAGGCCTATGAAATGGCTGGACTTTCAGCAGAATGCACTCAGTGTCTGTCAGAGCTGCGCAGATGGCTGTGAGGCCTTGATGGACATTTTGAAATAAGAAAATGAGTCCAGAGGTTCATCATTTAGGACAGAAACCTTTGAATTCCAAATTTCCTCCAAACATTAAGTCCTTGTTCCCGTTTGGCCTTTCAGGAGTATAGGAAGACACACACTTAATGTATTCTAAG